AGGGAATATTTTCATTCATGAAGACCTGTTTCAAGGACTTTTCATCTCTCATGTCTGCATACAGTTATCTGAATCAATTCATGACACCTGTCGAAGCATACATTATGGTAACGGATATGCAGAAGCCATTCCAATGTATGGGAGAATATCTTTTCATACTGATTTGTCTATATACATAAATACAGATTACAAAATTTAAAAGGAACAGGACAAAAATCACAATAAAATGGCAGAGACAAAACACTCATACTACTGCAGAGATGAAACATATTGTTTGAACAATTGCATCACAGGCTGTAGGCGAAGACACAATGGTACTCTGTAAAACTAGAGTATATATGTACAGTACGATATGGTGACTTCCAGCCCCTGAAGATTAATGAAAGAAGAAAAGATAAATCAATGATAATAATAACAAAGAAAAACAAAGTGATAATGTTATATATATAACAGATGCCTTTTTGTAATTCCCAAGTACTTTCATTAATGAAGCTGCTATAAAAAGTATTATTTAAATATCCTAAGAAGCATGACACAGTAAGTAATATAAATGATACTGCAACATTCAGCCCTTCTGGATAAGTTTGTGCTACGTCCGTATATTACAGGGTGAGCATCTCTGCCAAGATTCTGTATAAAAAATTAGGAACTCATTAACCACTAATAATAAGTGAAGAGTATCAGTCAGTGAATTAAAGGGCTAATAAAAGCTGCACCTCTTAGGGTATCACAATACTGATTTTTTTTTTCTCAATTTATAACTTTCTGCACCAAGGAAACAAAAGAGTTTAATACAATATCAATGAAAATTTTTCAGTGTATGATAACATCTAGCGTATTGCACCTTTCCGTGTTCAGTAATTCTATGATTTTTCTACCTGATATAATGAAAATACAAACTAGACAAAATATGGTCTGCACATATATTCAATGGCAAACTTAAAAAAAGAAATTGGGGAGGAAAAGGAAAAACCTGCATCGAATATTAGCCCTTAACTTCAAATTTAATAAGGTTCACAACTAATAAAACCTTATCAGATCTACCTGCTCTCTTCACAGTTACAGGCAAGTCTTTACCATTAAATAAAAGTTATAAACAAATTTGATTACCATACAACTCCTTTTTTTTAACTGCCCTTGAAACTTAGATTGAAAAATACACAAATCTTCCCTAAAAGTCTGACAGCTGCATAATGAGACCAAACATTACCAAAATACAACACACAGTCATGGCCCCTTCTGTGCACAACTTATAAACCAATGTCACCCTCAGTCTAAAATGTCTAGGCGCTCTCTCTCTCTTGCATACCCATACTATTTCTAGATTCTTTTGACAGCCAAGACAAGATGAAAGAAATTAAATCATACCTGCCATTGGTTGGTTTGATTTGATAAAATATACACCAAACCCATCCAGCTGTGCCATTTGAGACTGAACACTACCATGAGAGGGTGAGACCCAAACACTTAGCAAGATATGAATATGAAGATCCCCGTATGAACATCACACAAAAGGCTCAAGCTGGCTGACCACATAGTCTCTCATACTATCTGTACACAGTAGTAAACATATTGTTAATACAAATATTGCATAAACAGGTTGCAGAGTCTACTAAAATGTCTTGAGACTCACTACATAAATTCTGTGTGAAATTATTGCATATGAACCTGTAGAAATGCAAAGCCTGGAAGTCACTTTATTATAATGGAAAATCCCTTTTCACTGATTTGCACTTTTAAACCTGGATCTTCTAGGACACAGTACAGCCATCTTGTTCTTAATTATGACCCAGAAGTAGCTATGCAGTTGCAAGTTCACTTTTTTTTTCCACAATCATCCACGAGCATCAGTCGAGAGCAACAATTTTTATTTTTCTCAGAGTTGTATTTGTCTCTTCTTCCTGATGAGCAAGACACTCTAGAGCCATGTTGCCATCAGTAGTTTTGGCCTCGAGTTCATCTATGAGATAACTAATATTGTTCTTCACATTCCCACCCCTAGTAATTTGTCTTTCACGACCAGAGTGATGGACTACTGTAACAAACACATGAAAGAGGTTTGTCTCTTAGAGCTCCACCACCCTCATGCCAAGCCAATATCCTCATCAGAACAGTAGTAACACCTGGTTAATGTTATCAAATTGATTTATTGGATATTTACTATACTATTGAGCATCTAAATGACCAGCTTCCTCTTCTATATCAATCTCTATGCCACTTTTACAGAATTATGGGGAAATCAAGGGAATGGATGTTGTTGCAGGATGCACAAAGTCTGTTTTTCAGTTTTCAATTTTAAAATCTGACCTTTTATACTAACAAAATGACCACCTCAAGTAAATTCCACACATTTCGGTCAAATAGCACAAAAGCACATTCTTGTTGACCAACACACAAATAACAGAAAAAAAGAATAATAACAATAGAAAAGGGGGTGGGGAGGGGAGGATCGGTCATCTTAGAAGCAACAGGAACCATTTAAAAATTGCAACATTATTAA